TGTACTTACAAAAGATGGTATTGAGCGGTGTCAAAGGCGGTCTAAAACTGGTAAGAGCTAGTCCCAATTAGGCGATAAAACCATTAAAATCAGGCATCCGACTGTTGGCCGCTATACACCTTCGTACAGGGTGCTAAAAACGGGAAACCAATGATCTCACTACCACTTCTTTGCGAGTAAGCCTTCCATTTTTGAATTTCTTTGATCGGGCCACGCATGAGCCTAAATTGTAAGGTTTCACGCTGATAATTCTTAGCCAACCCTTCTGGGCAACGACCATCTACAACGCAGGACTCGGTCCATCTCCACTTCGCGAGCAAGCGCTCAGCAGCGAAGTCTTTTTCGAGGCGTTCCAGTATTGCCTACGACCAGAGGTAAAACGAGTTGCTTCAAGGTTAGGCCAGAAGATCCAGGGAGAGAACGGCACTGCAAACGCCGTCCAATCATTCTATCGCCAATTAAAATGGGAGAAGGTTCAATGCAGTGATGCTGACACAGAGCCTGTGATCCATCGCATGCAATTACAACCATCGTTTAGCAGCAAGGTCGAGGCTGATGTGGTCGTCATTTCGACAAGAGGAGGCGGCTCCACGGCAGAATTGTAGGTCCTTTTTTGACTCGGCCAGTCCGGTTTGAACTTGGGAACTTGAGCTAATGACATTAAACAGGGATGAGTACCCAGCACACACAAGACGCGATAAAACCCCCGAGCTCGTCGAAGAAAAAGTCAAGACTACGTTCCTTGTCGACGCAAAGGGCGTATCCATAAGTCTGATCAAAGCCATCATCAAACCTACTGTCTCGCATATCGCAGATGCGCACAGGAAACGCGAGGTAACAAGCGCAATGCGGCTTAGCTCAAGTGGACACCCAGAACTGACCAGATTATTGATTGTCTAGACTGAGAATGACGCACCCGTGCCGATGGGCCAGAAAGTCGCGCAACCTAAAACGCGAACCGAGACGGCGATGAAAGTCGCGAGAACTGTGGGCTTTGGGTCTGCGGTTACTTGTGGAAAGATTGCGATGCTGCCATTCAAGAGTAAGTCAATATATCTACTTGCAGGCCTGTCTCGGTCTTGATGGACTACGATATCTGGCATTCATATCCGTATACTGACACGGGCGTTAGCTGTATGGTACATGAGCGAAACGGCATCGTACGGAGTTCGAGCTCTACAAGGGCTGGATCGCAATGAAGACAAAAAGCGCAGTCAAGACGTGGAAGAAGTGTCTGATGCCAACAATTCTCGGGGTTTAGATGAAGGTAAGGTTATGGACTTGCGAAGCGTGAATACCAGTTCTGACGATATATATGTTGCCACAGCAATCAACAGATCGTCTTATGACAGGGACGATGCTTATACACGTGCAATCACAGCTTCGGGTATGACTCGGAGTACAACTCAACCTCGCGATGGCGATAGGGTATCATTTGGATCTTCCCGCTCTCATTCGCCCGCACCTAGTGGCAATCGGGAATAGTTTTCAATTAATGATGTGAATCATTGGTTATTTGGACAAATTGGAAATACCACTAACTTTATAGCTAGATATAAGAGTACATATCTAGATAGAACACATCTCAATAGGTACTGTACCGGGACGTTGCTAAGTAAAGTATGTCCATTCGTATCTCTAGGCCTTGAAAAATCATCCACGTCATTCTTTTCTCAACAGACGAATCGGACCACTACGATAAACTAAATAAACTAGTTTTTGGCTCACCGCTCTAATCACCGCCTGTACAATTATGGCCTTGGCCTGTTGCACTTCTCCAAACAAACCAACGTTTCAGGGCTATTGTTCCTACAAAGCCGCCTACGACAGAAGAACAGAAACTATCGTTTCTACTTGAAATAGAGCAATGGCCAATGTAACTGCTTCCTAGCATGACAAAGTCTTGCTATGTCGATCAACCTATCTCCTAGTTACTAATTATTCCAGATATAACCACCTCTTTTCGTGCAAGATATGTCTGAAACTTCGACCCCGAAAAGCGTTTGCCGATAATCAACTACGAGCCAAGCGCGGAAAAGGCCACGCCGAGAGTGACCGTCGATTTTGCTTCGATTGCGGCTGCGAGAACAGGATATATCGACCAGGTGACTTCATTAAAGTAGACGGCCATGAGGAAGCCCCCTGCGCTTGTTGTGGAGAGAGATGTCGATATGGACTATACTGCATGTTTTGCCGCATGTGCGAGCCTTGTGTATATGATCTACCCCCGCTGCCTATATCCATAGTACTCTCCCCAAGTGAACTTGAGGAGAGTCGTTGTCCCCGGTGCCGGCATAAGGACCTTTTCACGGATTTGGGAAAGCCACCAGGCAAATCCCAGCCCGAGGACAAGCTGATGGCGATGAAAATGAGCGAATCCTAGGACTTTCATGGATTCAGAGGCAGCGCAGAGGGGTTTGAAGGGGACATCGCTCATGGGAATTTTTAGAGCCATTGCTTTGGCTGGAGTCTTGACTTTTAGACAATTAAGAACATGGTATAATACCAAGGTTTAGGCGGATATCTCACGCATTCGATCCCCGGTGCGCTCATTTAATCCCTTGTAGGCCGAGGTCTATTCACATATATAACCACACCAGAGATTATACATCAAAAAAGAAAAATGCTTCACGGCGGGCCCGCTAACATTCTGTAGAAGATTCACATTTATTAAAGGCAGAGTCAAGTTCGAAAACAGCAACTTTTCTTTGATTCGCAGCGAATCCCTTAGAAGCAGAAGACCTGGTCCTCCAGCTTGCTGACGGGGCGCGCCTTGGTGTATCCAAGAGCCTCGGTGGCCTTCTTCATCGCGCTGACCATGGGAGGGGGACCGCAGAGCAAAATCTTAACATCGGCAGCGGGGGCGGGCAGGCGCTCCTATAATAAAGCTTAATTAATACCGAGGTGGCACAGGCGAGCACAGCACGCAAACTTACCTTGATCATGTCGGGAGTCACAAAGCCAACACCGCCAGTCCAGCCCTCGGGCGGGTTGTTAAGAACGTAGTAGATGCGGAATCCATCATCCTCCTTCTCCAACTCCTCGAGCTGGTCCTTGAGCAAGATGTCCTCGGGGTTGACGTTGGCGAAGATGAGGTCAACCTTGGTGGTGTCGTTGCCACCGTTGCGGGGACGGTTGCGGATGATGGCCTTGATGACCTGCAGCATAGGGGTAATACCAGTGCCGCCGGAGATCATACCAATGTGGCGGCACATGTTGGGGGTGTACACCATGGCGCCCTTGGGGCCACGGACCTTCATGTTGTCGCCAATCTTCAGTTCGGTAAGATACTTGGAGATGTTACCCTGGGGGTAAGCCTTGACGAGCAGATCGAAGTAGCCGGCCTCATTGTCGGAGGAGATAGGGGTGTAAGAGCGGACAACCTCCTTGGGCTGACCGGCGATAGTGGCGGCGAGAGAGATGTGCTGACCGATGGGGAGGCCGAGGATATCGGTGGAACGGGGGAGGGCAAAACGGTAGATAGCGACATTGTGAGAGATCTCGTTCTTCTCCTTGAGGACGAAGTTCTGGAACTCGGTGGGGTTCAAGACCTTGCGAGGCTCTGCGACATCGGGGGTCAGCTTAATTCCTCACTCCAGTATTTGGACATAAAAAGATGCACGCACTACTGGTGCTGAAAACCAAGTAACCAGCCAGAACTCCAGCGACAGCAATTGCATAGGCGATAAACTCGGGCTTAATGGCGTAAACACTCGCGATGAGCAGGGCCGAGGGCACGAGGGCCGTGCCGATGTTGGCGAGGCTTGGAGGAATCAGCCATTGTTCGATATTACAGGAGAAGATCGACTCACCTCATTATGACAGAACTCGGACACTGTATTTCAATAAGACAGTTGCGATAGAAGCAGAAAGAGAAGAAGAAAAGGCGAGAGAGAAGATAAAAAAGAGATGAGGGGGCTCCGCCCAACGGAATTTCCCACCCTTTGGGGTTACGATTTCCCCGGCTTTCCGTGTTTACTTGGACTTACTTGGACTTGGACTTACTGGATTTGCTGGAGTTATTCGATTTACTGAGGCTATTGCCTTGCTTGACATCGCTTTTGATTTCTTCTTTTGATCATTTCCAAAATGCCCGAAGTACCAGAAGTCCCTGCCTTTAATCTAACGGAATTGGACCACAAGCTCCTGGCCATGACCGACGAGGAGTACGTATACCACGACTGGGAAGACCTAAAAAGCATCATCGGTAAGTATATTTCTCACTTGTGCTCGAACAATTCCCCTCATGCCATATGCCGTAATAGCACGAAATGACCTCGGCGCACTCAAGCGGAAGCCTTCCGATCTCCGCCGGTACCTGGCCTGGACACAAGAGACTAAAGTCCAGTATGGCACGATCATGAATTATATTTGCCAGCGGCGATTAAAGTGGGATTTGCCGCTGAACACTGCCAGCGGCACTGGCTCCGCGGTTATCCAGCAAAGCGGGACAGCGACCTTCAAGAACCCGCGTCCCTTTGCCGATCCCGAGGACTACAAGATCCTCCGCAATGACTGGCCCTATGGCCTCACCCCCGGAATCTCACATCTTGTCGTGTGGCTACGCACTCCTATCCCCGTACAATCCGATGAGGGCCATTTGACCGATGAATCTCGTGCAATCATCAACGGTTTTGTTCAAAAGACTTTCGTGCACCGATTGGCTAAGGATCCCCAAAACTTCTCGGACCCTGACTCCCATGTGCTATGGTTTAAGAATTGGGTTGGCCTACAGAGTGTGCGGGCCTTGGAGCATGTCCATATTTTGGTCCGTGATGTCCCCGAGGATATCATATTCGAATGGGTAAACGAGTGAAGTTGCTGGTAGGATTGTTGATAGATTAGAAGCATTTCGCTCCCGACAACATCGCTCGGGAAGAAAAGATGGAATTAGGTAGAGTTGAAAGGTTACAACTTAGTCAACCCGCAATAATGATCATAAGAGGTAGTAGTACACTAGTAGACAAACCATGCTACCATGAAGGTGCAGGTCCATTCTCACCTTGAGGTCTTGTCTCGTACTCGATCTTTACCTGATCCGTGCGATGAATCTTACCTGCCACATAGGCCTCTTTCCGGAGTTGATCCGAGTTCAAAATGCTTTCTTGGCTGCCGCTCCTTGTAACCCTAATATCCGTGGTCATGAGGATATCCTCGTCCTCGCGAGTATTGCTTGCCGATTTCTTCGTGGGTCTATCCGTGTAAGAGCGCAACTTTCCGCTCTCGTATCGCGCGTGTGAGCTCCAGGAACGTCTGCCTCGAATCATTTCATAGATCGGACCCAAGGTTGGGATGCAGGAGGCCATTATGATGATGTTGGACTCGACGCTGATAGATGAGACGCCGATATAAGTTTTTGTGTCAAGGCCGGAGAAAAATAGGACTTAAAACATACCTCGTCCATATAACAAGATCTGCTGTTGCATCTATTATGCCGTGTCAGTGATATATATCTCATGTTATGCACTTAAAGCAACTTACATGTTGAGTCTTCCGTATTATATAGACCTGGTAGCTGTAGACACTTAATAATAGCCATTGCACAGGCTCTGTGTAGACGATCAGCTACTTTCTCTAGACAATAACATCAATCAACCTACACGGCGCCCAACCCCAAAGCCGCACACAGGGCCAATTTTTTCTGAATCGACATTTGAAGTTGTAGCAATACCACAGTCGGGTAAACTGCAAGATATAGATCGACCCCCGCCGACAGAACTGAGAATGTTTAGTTGCTGGTTTGCGAAAAGTATACAGTCCAGAAACATACCTCCAGTGAAGATTGCATAGCCCACCAAAATCTTGGTCGAACGACATTTTGCCCCCTCACTCATGAGATGTACCTTCCATAAAGCCCGGGGAGGATCACACATGGTGAATAGAACGATGATGCAGATGGTGGATGTCACGAACACCGAGGCTGTCAATATCCATAGCCATACTCGGCTCAAGCGGCTGGGATTCATGATGCGATTCAGGAGAGCAGCGATTGCCAGTTTTGGAGTTGTGAAAGACATGATTCCTAGTGCAAAGTTTGCATAATTAATGACTAGAATACGTTCGATCAAGTCAATCCCGCCTTTTTCCATCAAGACAGAGGTATGGCTTCCGTAGCCTAAAACGACGTTCACCGTGGTGAGAATTGTATAACTGGTGACCATAACCTATGTAATTGGTATCTGGCGTATCTCAAAATCAACTAGAAGGTACATACCATTGCCACCAGGACAATATAATCATCGAGTCCAATGTTCCTCAACACTCGGACTCGGATATAAAATCGTAAGGATACCATCACCACGCTTACACTGAAAAAAGCCCAGAAGACCCCTAGAATACGTGGACCCTTTGTCTGGTTTATGTATTCAGCGTCCATGGTTGCCATGATAGAGAGTAGCGACCGATGTGTTCCTTATAGGAGAATCACGGTTTTCTCTGGCCTTAAGAGGACCAAAAAGAAATGTGGAGAAATGGCCAGCTGAGGACATATTATTTCTAAAAGAATTTGTACTTAGGTACTATTGTTATAGCACGTACCTACGGGATCATAGAGCGTCATGTTTAGCTGAGTTGACCAATCGCTTCCCTAGAAAAATCAGGGTCCTAAAGCGCTAGGATCGCGATTGGCTTAACAACAAGTCCATAGTTTTGGCCCCCAGACGGTACGGCCTTAGCGTGTTTTCACAAATTACTCCATATATTGCCTCGTTTATTATAGTACTAAGTACAAAAGTACGCACAATAAGATAGTACCTTTGAATCCGAAAAGCCCCGGTCCCGCTAAGTAGAACCCTGGAAAGTAATTCTCGTATTATGTACCTTTGATTTCCTGTCGGATTCATATGAACCAGTCAATGCGTGTATTGTTCGTGGATCCAATATCCTTGCATTATGCGGAGCTGTTAAGAGCTCTAGCCCTGGAGAATTCACTCGGTTAGATAATGACTGCATGGGTCATAGAGTTTAGCTCAGTAGAAGCAATAACCAACCAATTGTGGCTTAAGGTCGCTTAACCTGGAACAAAATATGACACTAATGTATGTACTAATGTACTAGGAGACAGGGATAGTGATCCTGTCAGGGGGTTGGCAATTTTACTAGACAATATATGTTGGCAACTAGAATTTAGTAACATGAGATTGTGTTGTTGAGATACTTCTTGACTCCCACTTCCTCTTCTACATATACATCGCAGCAAACACAGTCCATCATGGCGTCCAATGCAACCGATGTAGAAGGTCTTGCTCTCATCTCAAACCTGCCAGATACCGTGCCTGATCTCCTTGAAACGGTTGCGAGTCATGGCAAAGACCTCCTTGCCCAGGACCCCAAAGCACGGCTTAAGCTACTAGAAGCCGTCCAATCGTTGGCTTATGCATTGGAAACCCCCCGAGAGGCAATCATTCGACACTGCTGGTCTGAGGTGTGTTGTAACCACCATAATGTGGCCCAAGACAAGTTTGAAACTGTTTCGACTGACGGGTATTGCATTTGCTTAGTCTACGAGTTATGCAGCCATAGAGACCGCTGTTGACATACATCTATTCTCTGCTCTTGGAACAGATGACAGACCGAAGACTGTCAATGAGCTTGCTGAGGCAACCAGTGTGGATCCAATCTTGCTCGGTCAGTAGTTTGTTTGTACGCCAGCAAAACCCAATATCTGACAAATCGTGTAGGGCGACTGATGAAGCATCTCGCTGCGATGGGAACAATAACCGAGACCGGCTACAACGAGTACAGCCCGACTGGCTTCTCAAAAGTCCTTATTGTTGAAAGATATAGCGATGCATTTCCGCTCATGTAGGTTGATAGTCAGAGCTCCATACCCTCAACCCCGACTAACAAGTTCAGGACACGCCGTTTCACCAAAGGTATTATGGCTCTACCGACCTTCCTCAAGAAAAACAACTACCAAAATCCCACAAGTCCGACAGATACAGCATTCCAGATGGGCTATGAAACAGACATAGGCTTCTTCGGACATTTGCAGCAAGAACCGCTCACGGCAAAGCAGTTTAATAATCACATGTCAGTCTACGGGCAAGGCCGAGTACGCTGGATGGATCCCGGCTTCTACCCGGTCCAAGAGCGGCTTGTGGACGGCGTCACGATTGGCGAGGACGATGTCCTGCTCGTTGATCTCGGAGGCAGTTTCGGCCATGATCTATCCGATTTCCGTCGGAAATGGCCTGGCCTCCCCGGTCGTCTGGTGCTTCAGGATCTTCCTGAGGTGGTGGTTTCGGTTAAGGATCTACACCCCACGATTGAAGTTACTGCTCATGATTTCTTTACTGAGCAACCAGTCAAAGGTACAAAAACGGAAGACTTTCCCCTGACCATGCGTATTGAAATATTGAGCCCATCGATTGCTGGCATATACTAACATTCTGCCCGCATAGGAGCCCGCTCGTACTACTTGCATTCTGTTCTCCATGACTGGCCTGATGAGCTTTGTCGCAATATCCTCGCTAATACAGTAGCTGCTATGAAGCCTGGTTATAGCAAGGTGTTGGTGAACGAGAATGTGATTCCAGACACGGGGGCTTATTGGGAAACCACAAGTCTGGATTTGATTATGATGGAGATTGGATCTGGTGAGCGTACAGAACACCAATGGCATGCGTTGTTGGAGTCTGCTGGGCTGAAGATTGTCAAGATTTGGACTGCGCAGCGGGGCGTGGAGAGTTTGATTGAGTGTGAGCTAGCTTGAATTGTGAAAACGCTGTAAAAATTATGAAATGAAATCGTTTTGTCGCATTTATACAGTGCCAGTCCACATACATATCCGATTTTGCCTGCAGTCAAGCTTCGCTTCTTTTTCAAGTCCGTCGGTCAAGGAAATCCAATTCGTTGAGAAATATACAAAGAACTACGCCGCAAGAATAAAAATTTGAAATTGAAGAATAAAAAAAGAGTTCGGTATCAGAATACGCCAGCCAGCTAGTCCATCGAAGCAAATGTTGATTACAATATACAAAGAGCACGCCTGGGAAATACATCAAGTCTTTTGCTCCTCCACGAACTTCAGAGCCTCCTCGCGGGAGACAACATCGATAGTACTGGCCTTTTGCCTGAAGCTTACACCATAGCACTTCTCCGCGACGTGCAGCATTTCAGGTCGGAAGGTAGTACAGATAAACTGCCCATTTGTCGAATCCGAGATGGACTTGAGCATCTGTGCAACGGCTGTTCGGTACTGAGCATCCAGGTTGGCATCGATCTCATCGAATAGGTAGAATGGTGCGGGGTCGCAAGCCTGGATGGCGAAAACGAGGGCGAGAGCGCAAAGACCTACATGGGAGATTGGTTAGCAACAGCAAAACAAAATACGCATTCGGACTGGAAATGCTCACTTTTTTGTCCACCACTCAGCTGCTGAATACGTTGTTGATCATCGTGCTTGCTATTGAAGCTCACACTGATGCCAACACCGACATAGTTTTCGACGCTCTGCCGAGCTGCCTCGTCATCTGAGTCAACATCTTCACCGACTCGGGGAGCATGGTCTGTTTTCCTTTGAATGATAAGACGACCACGACCGGCAGGAACAAGTTTCTCAAACACATTGTGGAACTCGCGTGAGACCTGCTTGAAAGTTCTTTCAATGGCCTCATCCTTGCGTTGATCAAGAACAGAAATAAGGTCATCGATGGATTTTTGGGATGCATCTAGCTCAGAACGACGCGTAGTAAGAGTCTCACGCTGCTTGGTAAAACTGTTATACTGTTCAAACGCCTTCTTATTGACATGGGAATATTTCTTAAGAGCCTCGTTGGTCTTATGGAGCTTCTTGACAACAGTGTTGGAGTCGGTATTTTGGTATTTGGTGAAAGCTTCATCCGGAAGAACTCCGAGGGAACGGATGTTAGCCGCACATTCGGCACCTTGCTTAGTGAGTGCTGCCTTCTTTTGCATGCTCTTCTCCATACGTCGCTGGTGTTTTTCAATAGACCGAGCGAGGTCTTCAATTTCTCGTCGGGTCTCCGCATTACGCTGCTGCAGATCTATCACCCGAGAAGTGCCTTCCTCAATTGAGGTGTCAACTTCCTTGAGTCGGGCGTTGAGTTTTTCCAACGTCTGGCCAATGCGCTTCACTTCACGCTGTGTCTCTTTCAAGTTGCCTTGAACTTCCTCGTCGGCGATGTCAATGTCTCTGTTGAGTAACTGGTCAAGACGAGGGTTGAGATTCTCTCGAAGCTCAACTTCCAACACTGACTTGCGTGCCTCGAGCTCGCTTCGCTGACCGGCAAGCTCTTGGTATTGGCGGCGCAAATCTTGCACTGTGCTGCTTAAAGTCTCTAGTTGAGCTTCCTCCTCGCTGGTGAGAGCTTTCTGGAAAGGAGAAGACAGTTCAGTCTGGAACGCATTGACTTGATCGTTCAGGGCCGCAAGGTTAGACTCAACATTTCGAAGAGCGCGTCGCTTGGCATCAAGAGTATCGGTCTTGTTTTGGAGGAGATCACGTTTGGCCCTCAACTCGTGTCGTAAAGGTCCACTGCTGTTCTGGACCTGATGTCTTTGTTGCTCAAGTTTTTGCAGTTCACCGACAGCCTTAGTGATCAGCTGGTCAAGTTTTTCTAACTCTTTCCGGATTTCGGTACCGCGATTTCTCTTGGTCTCATACTCATCTCGCCACTTAGCTAGAATCTTGACAGCGTCTAGTCGTGACTGACGAGAGTCGTGGTATCCACCAGTCAAGGCACCACGCTTGTCTGATCGATCACCCTCTGGAGTGATAGCATTGACACCGTGGCTTCGTGCGTACTGCGACGCAACCTGTAGGTTGGGGCAAATGATAGTCTTGCCGAACACATGCTGGAAGGCTCTGTCATATGCCGGGTCGTACTGCAACTTATCGATCATGGGTATTGTGTCGCTAGCACGAGGCATGTTCATCGGCCTAGTACGAAGTCTGTTCAGAGGCATGAATGTCACACGACCAGCCTTTTCCTTTTGTAGGATCTCGAGAACGGTTGTAGCAGTTTCATCTGTGTCAACAACGTAGTGGAATAAACTCTGGCCGGCAGTAACTTCTACGGCGGTCCGATATCTATCATTGACATCGAAAAGCTCGGCAAGAGTACCATAAACACCTTCGAGGTTATGCTGACGCGTGATTCGACGCACTGCGGCAATTCCACGACTGGTGTTGTTATCCATCATATGCGAGAGATTGCGCTCAGCACGGTCCACCTCCTGGGATGCATTCGAAAGCACGGAGTCAAGCTTCGCTTCTTCTCTCCAGAGTTCCCTACATAATCATTAATGTCTGGTTATAGCCTATGAGTGGTTCAAGCGAGCTTACTTTCTTTGGTCCATGAGACGGTCTCTTTCATCCTTGGCATCTTGGACTTGTTGATCCACAGTATGCATTGTGTCGCCGCGTCCATCGATTTGCTGGCGCAAGCGTTCAGTTTCAGGCTCCAAAGCGGCAATCTCGCTTTCAAGGTCTCGGATATCTTCTTGTGTCTGAGAGATCACACCCTGGACAGTGCTGATGGAATTATGGCTCTCGCGGACTTCCATGTTAAGCCACTTGTCACGCTCAGATTTGTTCTTGAATCGCGAGTTTCTACCCTGCTTTGCATACAAACGCTGACGCGATGTCTCGGCATCCGTCAACTGTGATCTAACTGTCTCTTCCTGATCCTTCAAGGCATTGAATCTAGGAAGAATTTCGCGATGTTCGGCTTCACGCTCACTGATAGCGGTCTGAACAGAGCTGAGGTCGGAGTCGTAGCGGGATTTCAATGCTTGTGCAGCAGCCTGGTTGTCAGCAAGAGACTTGGCCTGCAGTTCATTCTGAGCTAGAGTTTTCGATGCTTCACGCCGTTCGTCCTCTAGTTGAGCCTTGTCAACCTTCAGGAACTCAATCTGTTGCCGGCACTCAGCGATCTCAACATCGATCTCAGCAATGGCCTTCTCGCCCTCAACAAATTGGTCACGATTATTGTCGGCATCCTCAACGCCGTTCTGTCGTCGCTCTTCAATCTCATTGAGAACCTTGCCGATCTCCTGTTGTTCGAGGGAGTAAATGGTGTACTCTAGACAGCGGCGCTCCTTGTCTTTCTCCTGATAGCTCCGAAGCTCATCCTTTTCTTCTTCGAGTTCGGCAAGACGTTCGTTAATGTAATCGAGGAGTTCGTCAATCTTGGCACGCTTGCTGTTGGTCTCACTCATAATTTTCAAAGACTCTGAACGACGGGCTTCGTAGACCTGAGTACCGGCGACCTCCTTCAGCAGAATCAGCCGCTCGGAGTCTTTCATGTTGGTCAACGCAGTCACTCGGCCTTGGGGAACAATGTAGTAAGGGTTGGAGCGAGAGAAACCAGCCGACTCGAGCAGGTTCATAACATCGTTCTTGGTGGCATTCTTGCGGTCGAGGGTGTATTCATCCTTCTTGATACCAATGGTACGACGCAGGACGACCTCTGGCTTGCCGGTGGGGAATCGATCGTCGGAGTTGTCGAATATAATCTCAACGTAGGCGGACATCACAGCCGAACCGGAACCTTCCTGCTTGGGGTCAACCTATGTAGATTGGAGCAACACCAGTATACATACGTGCAAAAGAGCTTGGCGTTCCTCTCTGCCAAGATGGGTATAGGCATCGCTGAGGACAAAGCGAATGGCCGCGAAGAAGTTACTTTTCCCGGAACCATTGCGGCCGACAATGACGTTGTGTTTGGGGGAGAATGGCTCAATGACCGTCTGATCTTTGTAGCTGAATTTGGTACGAGGTCAATATAAATTTCATAACGTCATAGAGATTGCGGATGGGGTGGGAAAATACCTCTTGAAGCCTTGGATAATGATCTGCTTGACATACATCTTGAGAAGAAACGCGCGACGCGAGGATCAATCAGAGGACTCTCAGCATAACGCGCCTGGCGCAAGAGCAAAATTAAGGATGGAGTATATCACAAAGATCAAGGCCAGCAGATCTCTCTAGTAATGAACAGACAAAGGCCGAGGGGTATCGTGATTCGTTGCAAAACCAAGGAGATTGCCTACATACGCGAGGAACGAAATTAGCGCGTCTCGTTGGGCGCGGGGTTCTGCCGGGCGGTGACCCTAATTTGAGCACAGAAAAAAAAAAAACCTTGGGGACCCGCGGGACATATTTCAAATCTCTACATTCTCAACTTTGGAGATCCAGAATGGCTTCGAATGAGAATACTGCCGCGGCAGCTGGAATTGCCGATGGCCTCGCGCCGTCGCATACCTACGTGCCCAACAAAGGCTACGTGAACCCTGATACCGCAGACTCCGCCGAGGCGGGGCAATATCCGCCCGATGGGCAGGAGGAAGAGGAAGAGGAAGAGGACGACGAGTACTACGACGACATTTTTGACGATGAATTGGATCGTGAAGATATTCTGTCTTCTGACAACACCGATCTTACCAAAGCATACAATCGCCAACGCAGAATCAACGACCTCGCTGGCGACTCGAACGTGCCGAGATGGACATACCCCAAGACGAACACCCAGAAGCCTACCGTGAATACATCCGCATATGTCGATGACCAGGTCAAGTCTCTCACTCGTCATGCTGCGAAGATCAAGCTGGACGACCAACAGGCCGGCTTTTCGGGGCGCAGCGACAAGGGTGGAGCAGATAAGGCAGACCGAGCCACATCAGAACAAGTGTTGGATCCCCGTACGCGGATGCTTCTGCTGCAAATGATCAACCGAGGCCTCGTCTCAG